AATGACCAGCATCTCTACCACCATGGGAGATATGAGGTTTTAGGTGGCAAATCCAGCAGCCTAGAAAGTTACCACGCTTGGCAATTACCTGGCAGATACAGGCAAGGGCATTTTATATATAGACAAGATCAAGGGAAAATAGGAGAAGAAAAAAAAAAAACAAAACAGAAAAGTAGAATAGTCTAATTTTTCACCTCCTGACTTTTATAGAGGAAAACAGTGTTGGAAGTAAGCTTTAAGTTCTGCTGGCCTGGCCCATGTTTGGGATAGCTGTCTACATCCAGTGTTGTCTGTTGATGACTGCATGGAGATCATGAGTTTGAAATCATCAATGGCTTTGCTGGTCCATTCAGGTCTTGTGACTCTTAAATAGGGATGGATGCCTTCACATTTAGCTGCATGGGGATTGGTGAGCAGCACCAGGAAAGGCCTTTCCAACAAGGAAAAAGGGAGTCCTTTATGTTTATGTCTTTTTCAGTAGACATATTCTCTAGGACAGCGGTCACCAACTGGTGGTCCATGGGCCACTGGTGATCTGTGAGGTCCAAAAGGTTGGCAACCGCTGCTGTAGGAAGTAGGTCATGAGAAGAATCAGAGGTCAGGCTGTATTCACTGTAGGCTTTTTTTTTTTTTTTTAAACTTTTGAGAGATGTTTCTGGAGATAGAGAATAAAGAGCTAGCAATATTTTAATAGATCCCATTGGGCAAGGCAATGATCAGAGTATGGGGAATGAGGCAGCTGTACGGGTCTGCAGGTTACTCTTTCACAGGGAGCAAACTTATGTTTTTCAAAAGTTAAGGAAAGACCTTTAGATTCTCTAGAACAGTGACAGCACCTTGGTCCAGGGAATTCCCAAGGCTCGCAAATTTTTGTAATTGGGTTTTAATGATGCCACATTCAGCCTTTCTGCTAGTCCTGAAGACTGAGGATGATATGGACAATCAGTCTCTGTGGAGAAGAGAAGAGACTCCTCAGAGTTCTTAGATTGTCTGGCCAGCAAAATGAGTTCTGAGGTCACTGTGCAAAGCAGTAGGGGCGCCCCAGGGAGGGATGATGTTTTCAAGTAATTTCTTTGCTACAGAAAATGTTTCTACCCGGTGAGAAACATACAGACCATGACCAGCTCATATTTGATCACTTGTTTTAACAGTTGTGTTTAGATTAATCAAGAAAATTTCTCAAGATATTAAGCAGTTAACCAAATCTTGTTATTTTCCTTGCTGACAAATTGTGTAATAGAGATAACCTAACTTATTTGACTAGGATATAAGTTGTATTTCTGCATTATAGTAAAGCTGATAACTGAATACAGACCTATTTTAATTGAACCAGCACACTTAAACTAGCTTTTATTTACTAAATATTTATCCTAGATCACATAAACTTTGAAAAAACATCTGGGTTAAGTTTTTATATTTCTGAGCATTTAGAATACTTAATTTGATAAGTGCTTATTTTTCTTCAAGCCTGTTAAATAGAGCTCATTTACAAACTAATTTTGGTAATGCTACCCAGAAGTAGAAAAACATTACCCATTTGCAATATATATACATACATATACAACAGAAATTTTAATTTTTAAATTTTGGGCTTGAGATAAGTATGATAACGCAAAAGTCACTAGTTTATAGAAAAAAACAAAAACAAAAACAGATGGCCACAAGTCAGATTTCTGGCAGAATCTTAAAGATTTCATTTCTTTAATTAAGCATTGGTCTCTCAGAGCCAAATTAATACCTCAATGCCTGAACATGTTCTTGAGGTTGGCAGGTGATCCAGTGTCAGTCTAGCCTGTGTCATGACCACCTTATCCTGGTATGAGTCTTAGGGTTAGTTGGGAAGTCCTCTAACAGCTTTAAGTGCTCTACTTGTGCCCATTAGTTTTGCATCTTTGGCTTCTGAGGTTCCCATTAACCATAGAACTATTACCCCTTGCCTCATGGGCACATTGACAGAAACCGACAGTAGCCAAAAGATGGTACTGCGGACCAGCCAAGAGAAAGCCTTAGGTGTGCACCAGAAGCAGCTCCCAAAGTAAAACTGGGCCCGAACCAGCAGACCTCAACCAGTGTGAACTGTGGACTAACCAAGGGCTAGAGCTTGGTGCTCTGTTAGAGACTCTTGTCAGTCCAGACTAACCCATTAGGCTTGTACTGGGAAGCCAATTAGATTGATAACTCAATGCAAAGAGAGCTGAACTCAGGATCCAAAGGAGCTTACCTGTGGCCCTTGGAAATGGGGGAAAAGAGAACTCAAAAGATTCACAGGGACCAGAGTCTGTGTTTCTCGTCCTTGAAGCTGTGAGATACCTCCTTTGGGTTCTAGCACTGCCATCAAACTGTTAAAAGAACAAAATCCAACTGAGTAAATTTTTGAAATCTTTTTGGCTTTATTCATTTAAGTCTCAACTTCATTCCTTGAGGAATCAAAAGCTGTACTTGTCTTCCAAATCTAGTCTTTACAAGAATAGAAATGCAACACTCAAAGCAATTCAGAGCTTACCTATCCTTTTTACCAATCCCTACAACTCCCCTAATCATCTCAAAAGGCTTGCAGTTACTGTAAAAGATGTGGATTCAGAAAACAGTTTTTTCTGGTGCCTCTGAGATATAAATGTTCAACCTGGTCTTCTCTAGGAGTTATCATCTGGGCTGTTTCTTTTAAAGGCAAACTTAAGGGAAGTAATTCTTATCAGAAGGAAAAAAAAAAAAAAAAGATGGGGAAGGCTATTTGGAACTTAGGCAAATAAACAATCTTAAATGTCTTCTCCACAAATATTAATGAAAAGTTTTAGCCATCTGAGCATGTAACCTTAATCTATCACAACTTCCAGAAACATGGCTTGGATTCAACTCTTCTTTGATAAACTAGTGAGGTATGCCTCATGACTAGGGGCAAAGGTGGAGCCAGGACTTGCTAGTTCTCTTTCCATCTCCATATCCACTTCCTGCTCCTGAAACTGTATTCTTAGGGGGAAAGTGACATCTTCATGTTGTGAAAGCTGCTTGGCCTTGCAGCTTTCAAACTGTGAACCAGTGACTGTGACTGGAGGACTCTTAATTGGGCCACCTGAGTTACTTATCCACCCTAGGTGAGGGTATGGGGTGACACCTTGTGGAGAGCACATAAAGGCACAGAGGGACTCCACCAGGGCACCAGCATCCACACTCACTCCCCCAAAACAGCCAATGTCCACTATGGGGTCCAACCACCTTTTGCCACAAAAAAAGTTTCTCAATTCACACGCACAATGGCACACATCTGCTTTCTCAGGGCAAAGAGGAATTTTGCAGAGAGGGTGTAATGGAGTCGGGCATGGCCCATGCAGATGCTCCATTTTTTTAGTTAAGATATCCATGGCTAGAACCTAACTAATTAAGAGACTTTGTTACTTTGCTTCTGAAGCCACATTTAAACAGCATTAACTGGGGTTCCTGGCACAAGACTCTCATTAAGATGGTATACACACAGTATGCTTATAGATGCCTTGGGATTTCCCAGCTTTCCTGGTGGTTTTTTTTTTTTGTTTTTTTTTGTTTTTTTTTTAAGCCAGATGAGAAACATTTATAAAATCCAGAATGTCTTCATCCATGTGTTCCCACAGAAATCAAACAGAAAAGTGGTGTTGACTGATCATTCTCAATCATAAACTGGTTCTTGAGGCCATGTTTAAGATGCTCTTTAAACTTGCTCTTCTTTAAACTACATTGGATTGGGGGCTCTTCCTGTTACCCATCCCAAGCATAACCTTAGCACTAGGTACCAGGAGATCATCAGCAGAGGAGAGAATCTTCTGACATTTGTGGAAAGTCCGATGGTGTTATCAAATAGATATTCCTACTCCCTCAGTGGCATATGCTCTTGGGAAGTCAAACTTGAAAATCCAGCCTTAACAAGACACAGACCTACTAACTCATAGTTACAGCCCAATGTCCTTCACAGGGAAATTCTTTCCAAAACAGAAGGCTGTGGTCACAGAGCTAGAGGCTTCATCCCTTCAGGAATCGGCACAAATGAAATCCCACGAGGAGTAAAAGCAAAAGGCACAAGAGAGGGTAAACAAGACACTCCAGGCCACAGCACAGCTGTAGGGCAGAGCACCAGGTTAGCCACATCAACATCTGTGACTGCGGCCCTGAAGGCAGGGCCTACGGGCAAACTCCAGCTCATTCCCACCTTCACCAAGATAATGTCTGATCTTTACCTTACCCTGAAAGAGCTAATTTAGGGTCACTAGAGAGGGGCTCTTTTTCCTGAACATGATCCCTAGTGATGATTATCAGCTTCAACATTCATAGCTCTGTGATCGCCTCTTGATGTGTAAAAATTCCTTCTACTCCACCTACATAGTGCTGCCTACCTGAAAGTCTTTTTAAAGTCTCTTGTTTTCTATATACTTTCTTATATATTTTCAACATACCTTTTTTATAATCACAAAACACGTCATTTGAAATAGTAAGCATTGGTTCAGCATTTTTAAAAGCTCAGTTTAAAATATGATTACAGTTTCACTATGGGGAAACCTAACATTTTAAAAGTTCTAGGACAATAAAATCTGGTTAGCCCTAGAGCCCAGGGAGGGCTACCCAAAGCAGCTGTTCTGTGGGAAAGGAAACCTGAGAAATCCAGCCCCAGCGGCTATCCGGTGTGCACAGGGGGACCACGGGAGATCTCTGAAAAAACCTGTGCCCAGCATACCCAGTGCACCGCAGATCAAATAAACCAGCACCTCTCAGGTGGAGCCCAGACCTGAGGATTTTGAGATTTCCCGGGTGACTCCAGCATGCAGACCAACTGCATAAGTAAGCATTAGCTCCACTATCCTCCTTCACAGATGTCATAGGTTAGGTCCCCTTTATATCTACTCAGGCCTAGCTCCTTGTGGACAGGGAAGGCTACTGCTCAGTATGAAACCCTACAAAATCAGCACACACTTGTGAAGGCAGGCCGGTAAACACCACTCCCCACTCACCATCTGCTCTCCTTGGATTCCCTGCAGGAGCTATAGTGACAGCTGTTTCCTGGACTCCCCCCTGTATCCAGAGCTCGCTGACGTCCAGTGGTACGGCCAGGAGAAAGCCAAGCCGGGGACCCTCGTGTGAGCCAGCCGGCCTCAATCTGACCGCCTCAACGCCATTCTGAGATCACCTCACTGCCTCTCATTTGCCTTACCCAGACACACTGTCACCCTACACCAGCTTTGGCCCTCAGCACTTTTTCCTCCTGTCTCCGCATCCCCTCACAACTCAAAAACCTGACTTAGGAGACATTATGGAAGGTTCCGGTCCCACTGTGTGTCCCCTGGCTCTCTCTCCCACAGAGAGCCAGGCACCTGTCCTTAATGGTACCTTGGTGGCTTCCCCCTGCCATGACAGCCCCCAGGCCAGGAACCATCAGGAAAGCTGGCTGGCCTCAAATTCCTGTGGACACGTGTTACAGAGGGCAGGGAAGGAGACTACTGCAGGTGGCCCAGAAAGTCTGTTAAGCTGTGGCCAGCCTGCTGCCTGGACATGCCAACCAGGCACTTCAGGAACAGGCTGCCTGGTGGGAAGGCTCTTGACACCTGAAACATTCCTTGGGCAGTGGCTCTTGGGGGAGTGGGGAGGAATGAAACAAGATGCTCATCACATCAGAGATGCATCAGAGGATCACAATCAGTTCTATGCTGCCAAAGATTTAAAAAATTAAAACAAAAAATGAGAGGGGCCAAGAGGAAGACATTCTTTGTGTAACAAAATCTCTTTCAAATTCTGAACTGCTACAACACGAAGTCCAAGTCAACCATTTGTAAACTGTTTCCCCTCTTTATTGCCTCTCCCTAACGTCCACCTTCTCTCTCGGGAGAGCCAGGAAAACTCAGTTATGTGACACGAAAGTCGGATCTCCGTGAGTCTGGATGCTGAGGACTGACCTGTGGGGAGCAGCGGAGTGTGCTATCAGCCCTGGCCAGTGCCCAAACCCAGGACACAGCTGCTTTCCTTTGGGATTTGTAGGAGACATAAGGTGATAAAGCCAAAAGTGGTTCTCTCTCATTAAAACAACCTGTAAAGAATCCTGTTTTTTTATTTTGTTTTGTTTTTTGTACAAGGTGTTTCATTATATTTTTTACAAGAAACCAAGGGAAAAGCACATTGCAATTCATTCAAGTGTTTAACTGTTGTGGCTCATTTTATGTTTGTTAACACTTGTGTGACAAAGAGCTCAGATCCAACTTCAGTTACCTATGTGTCACTTATTCAAAAACCCAACTATGCCCTTAGGTAGAAAGATTTTACTCACGTGTCTACTAAGGCAGAGCAGGGTTGAAAAAAATACCAGCTCTCAGGGGGCTCAGATGCCTACAACAGTGTCAGCCACCTGATGTACCACACTTGTCTGCAGGCACCAAAAGAAGAAAGAAGAGCAAAAACGGTGTGGGAACTGCACGTTTACATGTGCTTTGAGCTATGCTTAAAACACAACTGGAAAGCCATCAATCTTCACAGGCCTCAAAACGACTTTTATAATAATAACAAGTGCACACTCTTAGTTGGATATTCAAAATGGCACAAACACGGTCTCCACAGAGGCGGTATACTGTGCTTATTGGCACAAGTGGGCGGTGGGGGGATATTTTTTCCTCCCTTGTAATGACTTACTGGAAAGGCATTGGGCAGCCAGAGACAGGAGCCAGGGTGGGGATAGTTTTGTGGGAGAGCAGGACTGAAGTTAGCTTTAGCATAAAAAGAAAAACCATTGTTCTTTATGTATATGTAATCCAAGAATAACAATAGACTCCACCAGACCAGGAGGGTATGGATGGACATTAAACAAAATAACTAACCTGGTGCACCCTCTGCTGCAGCGAACAAAGCGTGTGGATTCACAGCCGGCTGGATGATTCAGGGCCTGGTCCGTGAGGCCCTGTGCACAGCTGGGTTGGTGATAGCAGCTTGCGGAAGGGATTACTATTCACAGAACACTTTAGGGGTAAACCCTGCAGAATACATAAAACTGGTTATAATGTTAAAATGATTCTGGGGATTGATTGGGGGGTGGGAGGGTATATTTTTGTTGCCCTTATTCTGATGATCAAAGCTACAAATAGCAGATTTTTTTCCTCCCCACTTGGAAACATTATATATTGGGCCATTTTTTTTTTCTTTCTCCCAAAACTGATATGTGGATAATTAAACTGGACTATTCACAACAGGAGCAGTCAGTCAAAAGGGAAATAGAAAAGATGACAAGGTTCTACAACATATACAGTAATGGAGCATCAAGTCTGAAGTCAGTCGGGTCAAGCTTTAAGAATGAGAGATGAAAATTATTTCCAAACACCTGGGTTCTGGATTCTGGGGGCAGAAAGAAATGGAGCAGGAGAGGGATTATAATTCAGACCAACATCACAATAGTCTGGTAGTAAAGACAGAAATTAAGTAAAACAGGTTTTACTGTTTAGCTGCATTCAGTTACTACGAAGTGTACATAAAGTATTAGTCCTTTGAGACTGACATGATTAAGGAATGATCAATGTAGTGGGCAACAATAGAGTAATTGTACACAGGCACTTGCAAGCTCTTTATAGATCCCTATTTCTTTAAAATAAAAGATGAACCATAAAGCCTGGTCTGATATAAAGCCCCATTGGATTCTGTGGACACGTGTAAGAAACTACCTGTTTAGCCAAAAGACTGGCAAAAATGCCTATATCAGATTGTTGCTAGCCAAGTGATTTTTTTTTATTTTATTATGCGGAGGTGAGTGTTGAAGAAGTTAAAATTCCAATTTGTTTTCATTCAGTATTAGTTTAGTTCTAAATATAGCAAACCCCATCCAGGTGCTATCTGATGACCAGTTACTGCTTAGTTAACTAGGTGTAAAGTTTTTCATACACAATGTCAATAGTTTATTACAAGTTGTGTAAAATGGACTCTAGTTTAATAATGGGGGAGAGAAGGATTAAGTTGCTCCTGAAACTGACTGTAGAGCATGTAAAATGATTTTACTGGATTCTGTTCAACTGTAATCAATGAAAAAGATGTATGTTGTAGACAAAATTGCAGAATTAAAAAGAAATCTGCTTTTAATTTATTCTTTTTGTATTAAGAATTTGTATAGTACCTTTACATTTTGCAAAACAGTGTTGTCGACACTTATTAAAGCGTTTTCAAAATGAAGAGATCTCAGTTGCTGTTTGGCGATCTTGTTTGTCTCTAGGTGACAAATGCTTCAGATGCCCTGGAAATCTGTAACTCTGGTGCTAGTGTCCTCACCATGCTCGTTTTTAAAAGTCAACTTGCAGATGCTATTCTTTTTATTCAATTTTTTAAATTTCATTTTTAAGTACAGTTTGAATTCAACATTTTGTATTAATTTCAGTTATACAGCACAGCGGTTAGACAATCATATACTTTACAAGTGTTTCCCTAATATTTCCAGTACCCACCTGGCACCATATGTAGTTGTTACAATATTGTCGACTATACTCCCTATGCTGTACTTTACTTCCCCATAACTATTTTGTAACTGCCAATCTGTACTTCTTAGTCCTTCTCCTTTTATACCTAGCCCCTCAACAGTCCTCACCTCTGACATCCATCAGTCTGTTCTCTGTATCTGTGTGTCTGTTTCTATTTTGTCTATTCTTTTATTTTGTTCTTTAATTCCACATATAAGGGAAATTATATGGTGTTTGTCTTTGACTTATTTTACTTAGCTGTAATACCCTCTAGGTCCATCTATTCTCTCATCAGATCTTAATCTTTTTATGGCAAAGTACTATTTCATGGTGTGCACCACATATGCACCACAGCTTCTTTTTATCCACTCATCTATTGCACAGATGCTATTTTTATTGTCTTGTTAGATGTTGTAGACAAGCTCAGTTCATTTACTAGAGGCTAATTCTTACTCTATTTTTAATTTCCTTTTGTTACTTAGAGATGATATATTCTCAATGATGTATCTTCCCTTCTTTATAAAAGGATGTGAGATTAGAGATCACACTTTGTCAGGATGCTAGGTTAGTGTTTGTATCACTGTTCAGTATAAAGAGTTACCCAAGTGCAGCATGTGCTAGGCATGGGCACTGTCTCCACAGAGCAGCCCTTGGTGGAAGAGACTCTGTAGGACCCTGGGCTCTGGAGGTCAGCCCTTGTCAGTCTACGTGGTCCCTGGTTCTGTGTGGGATGCATAGGGCCAATCAGGGAGATAAGCAGGATGCACAGGCTTTTTGTCACCACTGCTGTTCACTCCTGTGCTCACACCACAGCTCAAACTGTCCCAATCCTCCAGGTCATATCACCAAAGCAATAGCCAACTGGGCCTGCCAGTCCAAAGAGCCCCTTGTTTAAGGGCATAAAGGTAACTGGCTGACTTCAGGAGTGAATTTGCTGCAATTGAATCCCTGCCCCCTAGTCTAAGCTAACATGTATCTCTTCTTTAGCAGGAAACTAGAATCTGGTGGCCAATAACATTCCTGGATGGAAAGTCCTCCCCAGATGGAAAGCCCTTGCTGAAGTATTTGCCACCACAGCTAACCCTGCCAAAAATGAGAACAACCGCCCTGGCCAGTTTCTCAGTGCTTAGAGTTTCAGCCTATAGACCAAAGGGTCATTGGTTCAATTCCCGGTCAAGGGCACGTGCCTTGGTTGCAGGTTCAATCCCCAGCCCCAGTAGGTGTGTGAGCAGGAGGCAACCACTTGATAGGTCTCTCATGTGGATGTTTCTCTCCCCTTCACCTCTTCTTTTCACTATCTAAAAATCAATGGAAAAAATATCCTCAGTCTATGGATGAGGGTTAAAGAAAGAGAGAGAGCAATCCACTAAAAATGCAAAGCATGCTTGGAAGTGAGCCTATTAAGTCAGCATTTTATATTTCCTAAAGCTTTCCTCAGGAAAGCAACCAGGATCCCTCTAGCTCAAGATAATCTACATAATCCTATATAATAAAGAGCTAATATGCAAATGGTCATCACAGCCTCACATCATAACAGCTTAGACACTCAACACTGAGGAGAGAGGAATGAGGACCAGCCAGGCACAAATGAGCTTAAAGAGAGGAATGGGGACCAACCAGGCTGCAGTCTGAGAGAGGGACAAGCCGCCCACCCCATTGTCCTGGGTGCCAGCAGCTGCGCCTGTGCCTGTGGCCCAGGAGAGGGACAAGCCCCCTGCCCTGTGGACCCGGGCACCAACCACTGGGGCTGCAGCCCAGAAAAGGGACAAGCCACCAGCCTCATGTCCCAGGAGCCTGAGTCTGTGGCCCAGGCAAAGCTGCCTTCCCATGGTCCCCTGAGGCTGTGGCCGGCCTGGATGAAGCTAGCTCAGGTCCCGGGTGCCTGCAGCCAGCCAGAGAGAGGAAAGCCTGGGTCTTGGGTGCCTGTGACCAGCTGGAGGAGTGAATCCTGGGTCCTGGGTGCAGGGCTAGACAGAGGCAGTTAGGGTGATTAGGCTGGTAGTAAAGCAGTTAGGGGCAATCAGGCAGGCAGACTGAGGTAGTTAGAGGTGACCAGGTTGGCCGGCAGAGGGATTAGGGGTGATCAGGGAGGAAGGCAGGCAAGCAGTTAGTAGCCAGCAGTCCCAGATTGTGAGAGGCCGTAGGACATCCCCAGAGGGGTTCCAGATTGGAGAGGGTGCAGGCTGGGCTAACCGACCCCTCCGTGCACAAATTTCATGCACTGGGCCTCTAGTCTATACTAATAAAA